ATAGAGCCCAGCTTCTCGGATAATCTGCTCTGCATACATGTTGAAAAGGTATGGAGACAGGATGCATCCCTGGCGTACACCCTTCCCAATTCTGAACCATGCAGTGTTACCCTGCTCTGTTCTGACTACTGCCTCTTGATCTAAGTAGCAACCAAAAGAACAATCAGTAAAACAAGACTTAAAGAAAAAAGAGTTTATAGTTGTCACCATCCTAATATAACTATCATTGGGATTTGACATAATATATTCTAATATTTTTAATCCATGCTTCTCATGATCAGTTCATATTAATTCTGTAATCTTAAATTTACTTTTATAGCCTAATTTTTCCTTGCTGATGCAAGTTTTATAACCTTAATTTTTAATGCTCACTAAATAAGTAAATGAAACATAGTTTACATTCAATATTTTTTTAGGATAAGGTTGCTTTTCAAGTTCCAAAATTGTAACTATCACAACAAATAAAATCTCTTATTTCATAACCTTTTTTTCTTGAAATTTTGGAGAATTTCCTTGGGAAGGATTCTATAATGTCATTCAAAGGGTTTAAACTCATTATAGCTATTAGTGCTTGTTATCTTATTATCAAGTAGCATTTTAAATGGTGAGAAAATATAAAAGTAACATCTAAAGGATCCTAATTAAGAGAGAAATAACTGCTTCTCCCCCTTCCCAAATCAACTCTATTTAATTGGCCCTAAGTAAATAATTCTGTCTGTGAGAGAGTGAAACCAAGTTTCTCCTAGGAGGCAAGGATTGTGAAGCTCTGTCTCACATACTCTGGGCATGTGGCCAGGAGAGACTCGTCCTTAGAGAAGTACCTCACGCGCAGAAGGGTGGAGGGCCAGTGCAGGAGAACACGACTCCGCATAAGATGGATTGAAAAAGTATCTGGGATAACGGAGGTAGGTGTGTTAGAGTCAGTGACACTAGCTCGGGACAGGGCAGGCTTAGGAGCTATTGTACTTAGAGTCACTGTGAGTTGAAGGTGACCTGATGGCACATAACAACAACAATCCTTGGAATCTCTGGTGGCATAGTGTGCAGCAAATTGTGCTAACACAAAAGCCTTGCTTTTCTGATGCTTTAAATCCACAGGGGCTCCAAAAGAAAAAAAAATACCCTAAAACAGGCAATCTACTCCTGTTATATTTTATGTTCTCAAAACCTGACAGGTCACCATGAGTCAGAAATAACCCCACAGCAGTGAATTTAGTTCTGTTTTTAAAATGTTGCCATGTCTTTAATTATCTTCAATCTATCATTAGACTTCATTTGAT